CCACCTGGTACCGGTTTGTGTTCCTTCATACAATGTTGTACAAGTGTCTTAGACCTTCCAGTCATGCTGGTATGACACAGATTACAGGTATTCTATCCCAACTAATTACAGAAGACAGTTAGTTGTAATACAGAAAGAATTGCAAATTTTTGCTGTTACTGAGATTTGAACTCTAGACCTGCCACTTGGAGGTTGACAACCTATCTACTTCACTAGGTTGCCACACCCCTATACTAATTATTTTATACTATTTACTTAAACCAATATCCAGATATTAATTGTTTTTACTATAATCTAGCTAACTCTCACTCTTACTAGCATACTTGTACTAATATATTTTTGCTTAACCAAATTATTTAAATATCTACCAATCAAATCATCTTTAGTAAATTGTCTGAACTTGATATTTACTAAAAAAATAATCTAATTCATAAAATCATTCATTATTCAGTTCTCAATTTCTTATATATCTTATCTAACACATTTTATTTTAATCTTATTCTCAAAGAACTTATTTCAAAGTCACTTATATTAATAGTTTAAAACTTTGACATATTATACAAAATTAGCTTTCAAGTTATTATTAATATTTTTCTTAATATTAATGAACAATTATATAACAATTATGAAAAACATATTGTATTCATTTCTCTAACTAAAAAAAACAACAAAATAAATCACAATCTTAACTAATTAACAAATCTTCAATATTATTTAACTCAGCAACTAAGCATATATGTTTTCATAAAAACTATACTTACTCATGATTCTGTGAACTTCCAGATTAACAACATACTCACTCTAATATATGTTCTTCTATTGGCCAAGCATTTTATAAAATTAACATTTGGTCTATTCTATAAATCAAATATAGCATATTATCAAATTATATACTAAATATTTAAATCTAGATAAGCTTTGACTATTCTAGTAGGTTTAGATTACAAATAAATTAGTCTAAGCTTTTATTTTTACATATAATTTTCAATTTATTTGTTTTGTACAAATAGTAATAGTTGTATAGTTAGCAGTTTAATGCAGTGTTTAAAATTCAAAAAAAAATTTACATGCATAAATGTATTTTGTACATTTTTTTAAAAAAATTTTACATGTACACTTAATAAATTTTTAAAAAATTCAAAAAAATTCAAAAAAATTTCATGCACATGTGCATCTTGTGCATGCCAATTTTAAATTCTAGTTTAATGATTAGTTCTAACTACAAGTGTTGATTTTGGTTATAGCATATATATATATAATTATTTTAAATTATTAATAAAGATATAAGTAAGACCTCACCTTAATACCAAAAAAATAAATAAATAAATAAATATTACTAGATATAATTAGATTAAAAAATAAAAAAAACAAAATTCAATAAAACATATAAATAAAATATATAAATATAATACAGAAGATAGTATCTATAATATTTAGAATATTATATTAAGTTTTAAAAATATTTTTGTCAATATAATGATTTAATGATATGTTTTAATTGCAAGTAATTGTCAAGATAACTGTATACAAGTATATAATAAGTACAAATTTAGATGCTATATAGATAAAATTAGTAATATAAAATTAGAGAATGACTATTTCCACCCTCTACTTTTGCTAATGCCACCTTTCACATGATTTAACTGATCTTTGAACTCTAAATGATATGTTACACAAATATAAGTTGCATGACTTTGAAGTTACAATTTATAAAAATTCTAATCATATGACCTTTATTTGTATAACATATTCATTTGATTAGAGTTAGAAAAGGATTGAATAGGATCAGAAACTCATAAAAGGTAACATTAGCAAAAGTGAGAAATGGAAATAGTAACACTCTAAAATTAAATAAATGTATATGTTGCATACTGTGATGTGCTTATGCATTGCATATATTATAAATTATAATTTAACAACTAAAATAAATTAGTTTTTTGTTTAGTTAAGGTTAGGGTTACATAAGATTAGATGTAATAAACGGAACATGATTTACAGTAAAAATTTTCAAGAAATTTTTTTTTGTTAGAATGCTAAGATAGTTTATATGTAAAATTTTGAGTTATAAGTGACTTTTGTCAAAACGAACGTTTTCTTGATCGTGTTATGTTACACCTGATATTGGAATTTGATTGGTCAATCATTAATATGCAATGTATAAGCACATCGCAGGGTTGCGATGCCTAATTAAGTCCTATAAAATTAAGATAATTAATTTAATATTAGTAATAATCATGTAAAATATAATCTCAAATTATATTATATCAAATTTAAAGTCTAATAAACCAATTGACAATATCACCAAAGTTCAAAAAAAAATTATATTACAAATTAATATAAACTTAATTATTAATTACGAATTAATATAAGCTTAATTATTAATTATAAATTAATTTAAATTTTTGCAATAACACAAATAAAGATTTTGCATAATATAAATCATTTTTATAGATCTTTGATTTTAACACATAACAGGTTTTAGTTTAGAATAGAAACGTGATTTTGATACGTGCCAGTAGACCGTTCATAACCAGTATCACCTGAAAAAAGTTGCAGTCACGTGAAAATTTTGTGATGTAAACAAATCAGATTTCTTTGTCAAAAATCATTTATTTCTCAAAACGCAACATAAGAAACCACCTATAGTGCTCTAACAAAAAGATTTCCTTGGACGATTTTACTATTAAACCTCCTCTAACACTAACATTGGCATAGACCCTAACCTAACATAAACGAAACTTAACGAATTTTGTATCTCACGTGATTGTAAAGTTTCCATGTTTGAGAGGTTCTTACCTAATAAAAATTTCAACTCTAATTGCGGGCAGGGCCAGACCGCAAAATTAAGAATTTGCAGACCTTAATTGGGTCAGGCGCTATATTATGTAAATCAAAACTAAATATGGTATCATATAAAGACTTACGTACTATTTTATTAGACAAGGTGAAACCTGAATTGCGAAATAGTGAAATCCGCTTTTATTATTATATTATATGAAAGCGGATCACACCCTTATGTGATGATTATAGCGGATTTCACTATATAATTCGCAAATCAGGTTTCACTCTGTCGTATTTTATCACAATCAATACACAGTTCTAACTGTTTAAATCTTTTAGAATAAAGTTTTGCCGAGACCAATATAATAGAATTGCAAGTAACGTTACAAAGTTAATTTTCATTTAAATATAAACGACTTAGTTTAGTCAACTTTTTAAATTCTTCAAGTTTAAAAAGAATCAAAGTTTAGATACGTAATAGGTTAAATATAATGCTACATATGGTTTTGAGTTACCGCGCACTTAACGTAAACTCTACGTATAAGTATTGTAGATTACTAATATATCTACTAAACAATTGCAAAATTATGTAATTCTTTTGCATCATTAGTCAGAACTCTACGTAGTGATAAAATTTTGCGATAAGCACGTACCTCCAAAAAACGTGATTTTGTATATAATTTTTCTAATACCGATATTAACTCTAACAGTCAATGAAAGGGATCTGTAGGTATATCAAACATCGCATGATCCTTGGGAAAATAAATGCAGCGTTGGGTCATGTTGATGTTAGGAACATATTATACACTTACGTATCAGTAGGTGTTTGATCATGTGATAAGTTTTTTTAACGTTGTTAATGAGGGCTAGTAATTAACAAGATTTTAAGAGGCTCCCTTATGCATTTACGAGTCGTCAATTCCTTTTATTGGATCTGATATCTTTTCAAGGGATAAATGGTGAGTCAAAGGTTGAGCTAGATAAAAAAAGGCAGTTCCTTAAGTAAAATTTGAGATACGCTGATAAGTATTTGGTGGAATCTTTTGATTCGTCATTGATTCAGTCTCCATGCAGCAATTTCTTGGAATTGTCTTCTTTTAATGAAAAATAAACAATCCTTTAAAGGTATTATACTATAATGTTTGTTGAAACGTTTCAAATGAAATGGTTAAAAGGATAGTACAACAGCTTAAGTGAAATTTTGTATAACAACAAAAAAATAATGCTAATCCTAATTTACATATAAATTATGTGTAATATTAAATTTCGGCTTATTTTAAATAACGTTCGTCTCATTTACGTGTTTCGATGAGTTGAAACGAAACGTTTACTTCTTCGAAGAGTAGTGGACCAATTTTAACCGTATGAATATTTATATGATAATAAGTTATTCATGCAATTACAAGCCAAGACAATGAATTAACAACATGAATCCCATTGCATTATTTTTCTTTTAGTACTTTACTGTCAATCTTTTTTTTTTTTTTTGAATTTGGTTCTGGGAACCAACTCGTAAGTGACGATATTCTTCACGCTACACACCTTAAGTAATCATTATTGCATGTTAACCATTTTTTCTAAAACAATAATAGAATAATGAAGAAAAACTACTCTATTTTGTTATTGTTTGCAATAACTTTACAAATAGTAAACGCGGCACCATCCATTAACAGTAATTTTGATGACTCTGTTTCGTATAACTCTTTGGCAGTTGGATTCAGCTTATTGCTGGTACAAGTGAATTTAGTGACTTGCCTATTTATCTTTTTCCGAACCTTTATGATTTGGAAGGATTGTTCACCATTAACTTTCACTCTTAAGTTTCCTTTCTATCTCGCTTTTATCGGTAAAATATATTCTCTATTTCTAACTTAAAATTTTGAACTTTCGAATATTAATTTTTTTTTGAAAAAAAAAAGAATTCTGCGTGTCTATTTTACAAACATTTGACTTGGTACATAAGTTGTTAATTAATAAATAGTTTGATAGTACGAATATAATCTAATTATTAATTACTAATATTAATAAATTTTTAGAGTAGCGTAATAGCCATACACGGAATATTGAAAGCAGAAACCTGTAACTTGATAGAAGTGTTAATAATATTTTTCATAACTTTAACAATGAATCTAGTGGTTCTTGTTTCGTTGCTAACTAGTTTCAGTACGAAAAGACAAATTATGTTTAAGGAAGAAGTTATTATGTTCTTGATTTCTATCATGTTTTCAATATTTTATGCCGTTACATTTATCGATAAAGATGAAACTGAAAATTGGTGGTATGTATTTGTTGGTCGTTAGCGTTTATTAATTAAATTTGAAATCTTACGTTCTTTACATTCTTTAATAGGTGCTCATCTCTATCCGATCAAATAGTCCCTTTAATATTATCACTAGCACACTTTTTGTTCATTACTTTATTTCTCATAAGTCTCAAATTACGAATTAAAAGTATTAAAAGATCTACTCAATGCAATGATGATTCACTTGAAAGCGAGTCTCAACGTCTAAGATTTGTCGAAACAGAAAAAATTACATCTTATGTTTTCATGATCTGGGTTCAATTGGTAATTATATTATTGTTAGTTTTTATATTGTTTTGAACATTTAATTCCTTTCTAAATATTATTCTTGTTACATTTTTAACAGCTCTTTTTAATTATCTATCTTATTGCCCAATTCACAATGGTATTTCTTTCAAAAAGCTCATTCGTTAATTAATTCTACCTTTAAATGAATATATAAGTATAACTAGTCTCTTTTTTGTAGGCTAACTCTGTGGCTACCGGCGTATATTACACATTTGGTATGTCCTCTTCAAAAATTTCATTATTATTTTTGATCAACTAAATGTATATTTTTGATTTTCATTATATACAAATAGCCTTATCTATTGGTGGTGTGTTAATATTAATCCAATATATTCGTAACGAATCCTTAATGCACGGACAAAACCAATCGAAAATTCCAAAACTTGTAATCGATCATGTATCTACCGAAGGTCCCAATGTTTCTCAAATAAATTCCATGAAGAATTATTTCTTTGGTCGATTTCATTCAAATAAAAATTTATCTCCCTCGTCGACCAGTATTAATTCTTCCCCTAGAGAATCTTTCCGCTATTCATTCCGTGACTCATTTCAAAAATTGAAGTTACCATTCACAAAAATTCAAGTCCAAGTGGTTCAACACCAAACGTCGGACTTTTCCACTATTGATAGTCATGATCATCTCGAAATTCCTGTCACTAGTGACATTTCTTAAACATATGTACGTATGTACGTAGTGTGAATATGTAATATCTGATATAGTTGTGCGTCAAACTAATATCTGCGTCAGATTAAAATAACCATAATCCCGCTAAAACCTACTCTTACCTCCTACCCTAACCTTACTCTTACCCTAACATAACTCCTAACTCCTACCATTACTCTTACCATAACATAACTTTTCTCCTAACCCCCCCCAAGGCCACATAAATTTAATATCTTGGTCTGAACTTTTAAACAACCCCGGCCGGCCGGTTTTTTTAAAAAAATTTCATGTATAAAAATTTTTGTACAAAATTCAAAAATTTACCCGGTTATTAAAAAACATTTAAAAAATTTTTTTACAAGTTTCCAAAATTTTGACACGACCGGTATGAAAACCAATTAAATAATTTGGCATGGTCTAATGAAACTTTGTATTTAAATTTTATCTGACGTAATTTTAATTTGACACACAACATATGCTTCATAAATATATCATAGTTGATTTATTTCATTACAAAATAAATTCCATAGACATTCCTGTACGAAATCGATTTTGTGTAACTTGTGCAAAATGACGCCAATAAAAAATTTTACGAGATTGGATTAGTAATCATTTCGTAAATTAAATTCGTAAATTAAATTCGTAAATTTAATTTCGTAAATTTAATTTCGTAAATTAAAATTAAATTAAACACATGTGAAACTCAAAATGCCCACAGCACGAAGTTGGTAGCACCAACAAATTTTCACTAATTGACCATTTAAACTACAAGATCAGGTGTAATGTCGTTTATGTAATTTATGTAATCACTTTTAGTACAAGACAACAAAACGTTTATCTTAAAAATTTCACAGTTTCGTTGTTTTGATGTCAAATTTATGCAGATCAGTATTCACATTAGGGTATGACTAGGGTTGTTGGTGCAGTTATAATTCTAGTGGTGCATGGGTGTCTACCAGACATAGTGCAGGTGTGATGATTATTTAGTGAAGTGATTAATTAGTGGTAGTAAATTACAAAGTTCAAATCACTATATCTCTTGAACTAGAAAACATATAAAAATAAAATCACATTTATTAAACTTCTATAAATGTGTTTTTTAACGTAACAATGTTCTTTTTAATTTTTGCACATACTAAGATAAAATTTCGTTATTAAATTAAATAATTTTTTTTTTGAAAAAAATAGTAAAAACCACATTAATATGATTTTTTTTTGTATTTATAATTAGGGGCGCAGATGACGCTCTTTTATTAAGATATTAAAAACAGTCTAGATCCTTTTTAAATATTTACATATTAATTTAAAAGACTTGAACCTATTACTAAAAAAATTGTTTTTTAAAATATGTATTTTTTTAAAAATACAATTTCTAATTAGAAGGTTTGGAAAGTTAAAAGGCATATCTGAATTATTCTATTTCAATGAGGTGTAATAACATCAGATTTTATAGATTATGTTAGTATATAACTAGGTTAAAGCTGTTAAAGTTTGTAAACAGACACTATTTGAAGTTTAAAATATAATTTTTACTAAATTTGATATAATTTTTTTCTTATTAATGTTAAAAAAATTATAGGTTTTCTGTTAAACTATTATGCTTTTAAGACATTTGATAGCAAAGTATTCTATAGTTTATAGTTTATATAAACATCAATCACAGTTCTTTATTTTAGATAATTTAATGTATTTAAGTTAATAGTTTAAAAAAAGTGATTTATGAAAAAAACATCAAAAAATTTTTTTTTTTTATTATATACGTATAAACTCAAAAAAAGTCAAGTAAATTGCAATTTATACAAAAAAATCTAAAGTAGAATAAATAAAAAAGTAAATTTTTTTGAAAGTTTTAAAGTTTTCTTAACTAAAAATTCTTTTTTTTTAATTTTTTTAATTATAATTTTATTTTTATTTTAAGATTGGTTGAAAATAGAAGAAACCTTGTTTTTAATTCTTATTTAGGTTTTTAAATAAGATTTCTATTCTGAAAGTCAAGTTTTTATATTTGTATTATTAATATTCAGTATTTAAATAAGAGAAATGTTCTTTTGTTACTAAATATTAAGCATATTTTGTTTTTTTCATATGTTATTTATATAAAACTTAAAATAAAAAGTTTTATCTAAACAAAAATTAAGTAAGTATTTAATATATTTTTAATAATTAAAACTTAAAAACTAACTAGTTCTGTACATTGTTAAAAAGTAGAATATTTAAGAAGCATTTATAATGTGCTCTTAATTTAGAAAGATATAATTCTGTTTATTTTAGCAAATTGTTTTTTGCTTAAAGATAATAAGAAACTAAGTATCAGACTTTAGATAAAAATAAGCAAGTTTATGATTGAAATTTTCTTTTTTAAAAAAAAAATTTTATTTAAAAGCTTGTTAAAAGACCTTTTTAACTTATTAATAGTTATAATTTAGAGATTATTTTTAGTTGATTATTTGTAAAAATGATATAATCCAAAATTGTAATATTTTTTTTATTCTTCTAATTTAATGAATTGCTCTTTTTTAGTAAGTTTATTTTTTAAACTATAGTAATAAACAAAACTAATTTTATTTTTGTCTTATTAATTTTTGTATTAAATTTGTTTTATATAAATTTAGTATTAATAATATTTTGTTTTAATTTATAAAAGACATAATTCTAAGGATAACAATCCTAATGTAATAGTTGGGTTGTCATTTTCCAAGTAGCAGATCTAAGGTTCAAATTCTATCTATAATGAAATTTGGAAATTAATTTGTGTTACAAAAAACTGTTTTCTGTTAATTAGTTAAATTTAGGTATTTGTAATTTTGGGTATAACCAATTAGGTTCTACTCATTATTAGAAACTCAAAACATCTATGCAAAATGTAATGTTACATGTACATAGAGGAATGTTAATAACCAATATTACATAAGACTCCAGTACAAACTTACAATAAGACCATCAGATATAGAAAACTAAAAAACTAAGAAAACAGAATCTTATTTAGAAATTTTCAAATAAAGAGGTAGCATAAACCTTTCTAGTGCTGTCAGACCAATAAAAACTTAGAAAACTCTAATAAGAAATAGGCAGATACAACCAGATGAAAAGATATATAGAGGAGCATATGATCAATCATGCTGTCAAAATTACTAAAAAAAAAGAATACCAAAGGTATATTATACTAGACCATTTGAATTAAAAATTTGAGAAGTCTGTCAGATTCTAAATTAGATAGTAGAGAAATGAAGAAAAAAAGTCAAAAAGATAGATATTAGGATTTGAGTAAACTTTATAAAGGTAGAAATAGTATAATGTAGCAGTTAAACAGATAACTCTTGTGATTACAAATATTAGATAACTATAACATGTTGCATAAAATTAGATCAGTATATGTAAAACATAAAGATTCTAATAAGTTTCTTGTTGAGAATAAAGTAGTTCTAAAATACTAATAAGCATTGGGAACTTGAATGGATGTAGTCTTAAAATGTTTTTATAATACAAGATAGATTGTATATACAAAGAGTTTAAATAGACAAAACTTCTAACTAGCTTGCAGATATGACATTTAGTATAAAACTTATATAGCAATATGTAAGCAAACTACTTAAATTAGACACCAAAAGTGCATATATGGCTAGTTGTAATCTCCTATATAAGGGAGCTCTTGGTGGCATCTGTGTTCTATAATTTAAATAAAATAGTCACAACTCAAAGATAAAAGATTTTAATATTAAAAAAAAAAAAAAGACAATTCTTATTGTTAGATTATTTATATAAATAGAAGTTTTAAAAAAACTAATTTTATAATTTTATTATATATCTGATATAATTGTTTTTTTAAGTTTTTTATAAAAGACTCAAAGAATAGTATATAAAGAGGTTATAAAAGAAAATCTTTTTGTCTAATCTTTCTTTCAATTTTAAAAAGTTTAAAAATAGGTTTTGCATTAATAATATAAGTTTTTTAATTAAAAAAAAAATAATATATCAAGTTTATAAACTTAGAATTAAAATTTATATTTTTTAAAATAAGTTTTAGAAATTATAACTAATATAATCAAAAGCTTTTTGTTAATTTTTTTTTTTTTTTAATGTTAATAGTAAGGCCATGCCTCTATCTTTATTGAATATTTAATTGAGATTTTACATAAA